TCAATATTATGTGACCTTTTTTGTCGCGATTATTGGCCAATTAATGTAACTCTCACCACGTGATGGCGACCTTGAATGTTCTTTTTTGCCTGTCACTCTACTTGTATATACATGTAATTAATTGACTGTTCATTTTGTCCGTACCTTCAATACTGTTCGGTACGTTTTTGTCCGTTTTTTGTAATGACGGTGGATTTGTACATTTTTCTTGGTGTAATTTTATGATTTATTTTATGTTTTAGAAACAGATAAAGTTAAAGTCAAGTCATCCTGTTTTTAACTATAGCTAAGCCGAGACTCTGTATCGTCAGTATTGAGGAGGGACTAAATCTGTAGGACAAAAATAATCCTACAACTCCTCTACTTAATGGCTCTTCACTTCCTCTTCACTCTGTGTGCACTGAAAACGACGGAAGCCAAAAAGCCACCATCGATAGTCTCCTAAAGCCACGTCACCAATTTCATATAGGGGCATTTGATGTTAGGACACTTTGCCAAATAGGACAACAGGCATCACTAGCCAAGACTCTGGCATTGATGTATGTTGTGTTTCAGAAACACGCATACAAGACCCTAGTGTGGTTATTCACCTAACCCCACCTGGCCAACAGGATGAATCTGCAAAATTCACCTTGAGGGTGTCAGGAGATGAGACGGCTAGCTCACAAGGATTAGCTGGTGTTGGGATAGCTCTGAGTACTAGGGCAGAAAAGACATTACTTGACTGGATCCCGGTAGATAGCCGAATGTGTGCTGTCCGTCTGAACGGATCAGTGAAAAGGAGAAAGGACTGCACTACTCGCCGATGCCTTTTCGTAATCTCCGCCTACGCCCCCACTGACTGCAGTTCGGATGAAACGAAGGATGAGTTCTACCAAAAGCTGTCTAGTTTGCTGCGAAAGGCTAAACGCTCAGATATAGTCGTTTTAGCTGGTGACTTTAATGCTCAAGTGGGGAAATTGTGTCAATCTGAGAAGAATGTCGGTGGCACATACGGAATTCCGTGCCAGCGAACCGACAACGGTGAACGTCTCCTACAGTTCTGTTCAGATAATCACTTGTTTCTTGTAAGCACTAACTTCAAACACAAGGAGAGACACTGTTTGACCTGGCGACCTCCATCATCAAACCAACGCTGGACACAAATAGACCACATAGCAATAAGCTATCGTTGGCGTGGGTCGGTAGGGGATTGTCGCTCCTTCTGGAACACGTGTGTAGATACCGATCACGCACTGGTCCGCGCTCGTGTGTGCTTACGACTGAACGGACGTAGGAAACAGCTAGCGGAAAACCCATCACGTCCCCAGCTCGATCTGGAAACTAAGTCCCTATTTGAGGAAGAACTAGCTAAACACATATCTGAGTTCGACAGCTGCGCTCACCCTGAAGAAGCCTGGAAGAATATTCAATCAGCCATAGATACAGCTGTAAAAGCTGTGAATAAGGTAAATCCAAAGGTGAGTAAAAACCATTGGATTTCGACTGCCTCATCCGAACTGATAGATGCTAGAAGACTTATTCCGGCGAGCTCCGAATTCAATGAGGAGCGAAAGCTGCACAAAAGGAAACTTACGAAAAGTCTCCGCAAGGACCGTGAACAGTGGTGGTTGACAAAGGCGAAAGAGATGGAAAAAGCATCGGCGATAGGCAAGACTCATCAGGGAAACGGGTGGGAGAAGGCAAATCATAAGTGAGACTATTTCTGAGAAAAATGGCTCCTTAATTAGCTCTCAGGATAGACGCCTCAAACGCTGGAAAGAACACTTTGAGGAACAATTTAACTTGCCTACAACCACACTGAGCCTCCCCGCCATCCAGCACACACCCGAATGGGACATAGACACTGGCCCGCCGTCTGTAAGTGAGGTCACCAAAGCAATCTGTAATTTGAAACGAGGCAAAGCGGCAGGACCCGACGGAATTATTCCGGAGGTGTTTAAATATGGGGGTGACATACTAGTATATAGTTTAACTAAGGTACTAGGTAACGTCTGGGAATCAGAGACGGTTCCATCAGACTGGGGTAAGTCACTTATTATACCAGTATTCAAGAAGGGAGATAAGTCCTCAAGTGATAATCATAGAGGAATCAGCCTAACGAACATAGTCTCTAAAATCCTAGGCTCAGTAATCATGAACAGACTAAGCCGAACTCGGGAGGAACAAACGAGGGAAAATCAAGCGGGCTTTAGGCCAGGTAGAGGGTGCATAGATCATATCTTCACTCTCCGACAGATCCTAGAACATAGGCACACTTTTAGGCGTCCAACAATTGCCATATTTCTTGACTTGAAGGCGGCCTTCGACTCCGTGGATCGAGAGGTTCTATGGCAATGTTTGACTATGAAGGGAGTGCCAAGAAAGTACATTGCACTAATCAAGGCACTCTACTCAAACTCACGTAGTCGTGTAAGGGCTTATGGGGAATTGTCATCTGAATTGATAACAACCAGTGGTGTCCGTCAAGGATGTCCACTTTCCCCTTTTCTGTTTAACTTCATCATAGATATGCTAATGGAAGTATCCTTAACTGAACTTAACGACTTAGGAATCGACTTGTTACCAGGGAATAGTCTTATAGACTTAGAATACGCAGACGACATAGTCCTGTTAGGGGAGGACGCTGACAAAATGCAGAGTCTTCTGAACACCTTGAGCAGCAATCTTCGTATGTTTGGCATGCGATTCGCCCCTGTGAAATGTAAGATGCTGCTACAGGACTGGACTACGTCAACTCCTAGCTTAGTGATAGGGAGTGAAGTGATAGAACATGTTGACCACTTCACCTATTTGGGAAGTTGTATCAGCACCAACGGATTGATTGGTGACGAAATCACAGCACGGATCCAGAAAGCTCGGGCTGCTTTCGCTAACTTACACCGTCTCTGGCGTAGGCGTGACATCCGGCTGTCAACCAAGGGACGTGTATACTGCTCAGCAGTTCGCTCCGTCCTTCTCTATGGCGGTGAGACGTGGCCATTGAGAGCGGAAGACATGAAGAGATTGTCTGTTTTTGACCACAGATGTTTACGATCTCTTTCTCGCGTTAGGTGGTATAATAAGGTAAGTAATGTTGACGTTAGGCGTAGAGTGTTGGGCAAAGAGGGAAAATCAATCGAAGAGGCTATGAAGTTACATAGATTGAGATGGTTAGGCCACGTGCTGCGCATGCCTAACCATCGTCTCCCCCGACAGGCATTACTAGCTGATATAGGTGCAGGTTGGAAAAGAGTAAGTGGTGGCCAAACAAAAACATGGCATCAATCCATGAAATCCCTGACAGTTAAACTGAGTCAGGTAGGGAGATGCAGACTTCCGGGTTGGGGCCCTCGGGACTCTAAGAATCAATGGCTGGAGACAATAGGTGACATGGCTCAAAATCGTTGTCAATGGCTTACGCAGATGTATTCAATCTCTTTAACCTTCATATTCCTTTCTACCATTACTCATTCTGTTTCACTCTTATACTTATCTAAATTCTATTGATTCTCTTCTCTCATTTTCCTGTCTACCTTTGTGTGCTATTTGGAACGTGGCAACTCGAACTGCTGCACTTCGGTGCCAAGTTCTATGTTGAATCCAGCAGCCAGCAGCAGCAGCATAAGTAAAGAAAATGTAAGCTTTAGGAGTGATTGGATTTGGTCCTGTAGATAACTTTAAAGGATAGATCACGTGGAGGATGAATGACCCAACCCCAGATGTTCACAGATTGAAGACTTTGTCGTCCTTTGCTCACCTTTCATTAACGAAACCGGGCAGTGTTCAGTTACGCGTTTGCGGAGATTACACTTACAACGTCCAATGCAATCAGCTCCACACGAGCATGTGAATGAGTATATGTACATAGAGATGGACATAAACGGTGGTTTATCCTTGACGCATTGTCGAATAATATTTCGGCTGGTAAATACTACATATAAGTCAGCTGCATAAAAACACCGTTTAATACATTTAGATAAACGACTTTTAATTACTTCAGAAATAGTGTCACGTTTGAAAGCCAAACTCATAAACAGTGTCTTCTTCGACACTGTGATTTGGCTGGGAATGGTTTCTTTCCTGATGTTTCTGTCGATAAACCTTGCAGGATATCCATTATCTAAGACACTTGTGCGAAGGCTTTCTAATTCTATGTCGATCGTATCTGCAGAACAAATTTTCCGAATTCCGGAGAATAGAGAACGGATAAGATTTCTCTTTCTTCCTAGAAGTTGAATTTAGTGTACTGACCTGTAAATGTTAGCTTTCGGTAGATCAACCCCATTAACTTTTTTTATTACAGCTTGATTCCACACCGTATTTTTGGTACAAGTATGGAATTTTCAGCATGTGATATCGGTAGCCCAAATTTCTCAGGCCGACCATAGATATCAGGTGTGCGTCGGCAGGGGATCGAACCCCGGACTATGTGCATGATCAGCGAGAGTCCTAAACACTGTGCCGCCGACATGCCGTCCTCTCATTTTAATTATCTTTATTCTTAACATATGTATATTGACTGAGCAATTTCTGGTTCCAATTAATGCCTTTTCCCGTAATATAAATACGACTGTAGAGCTTGAAAATGAAGTCGTTTAAAAGAGATATTTCTTCACCTAACAAAAAAACTGTTTTTCCTTATGAATAAATGAGAACATTTCGTGTTTTTGTTTAGTTTAAAAATTAAAGAAATGCCACTTACTAAAATGGTAGAGCATTAATTAGTTTATCATATAAAATTCCATAAAACATGATGGAATATACAGAGTACTAGGAAATACTCAACGCAATAAATGTAGCATACATTAACCTTTATATAAAAACAAGAAAATCTTAACTAAAGTCTTGAATAACTCTCTTTGGTAGTAGTATATTTAAGTTGTTAGTTTTGGCTTAATCAACTCAAACATGCTGCTTAACTTATTTCCACTACCAAGATATAAAAGTGTACGGGGGCTTTCATCATAAAACAAAGTCATTTGAGGCAACAACAAAAAAAGCAACAAAAAAACACCTACTTCTGTTAATTTTTCAATTTCATGCTCCAAACCAACTGCACGATCTTCTTCAAATCTTGCAGCGCTGTCGTACTTTCTAATCTCATCCTCAGCAGTTCGCATAACCAAGGCAAAATTATGCCGTAGTGCAGGACAATCAAAAAAGGTTCCCTCTAAACGCTTTTCAACCTTTTTACCATCGGCATCTGGACCTTCTTCATCTGACAGAGTAGAATCATCTCCTGGTTTTCGACGCTTTTGAACAACACGAGATAAGGCAGCTTCATAACCTGAATAAACTTTCTGTTCTTTACTTGTCATATCGATTACTTTCACTTTAGATAGTTCACTAGAGAAAAAGATACGTAATTTTACAATAGTATTCAATAGAAAATGAACGGAAAAGTGCTTAACTGTAAAACTACAACACCTAGGGAAAATGCACCTTCAATTGGACATACTTTATATATATGTATGTATATATATATATATATTCACTGGTAAATTTCTGGTAAATTCGCCAAACTCAATCCTTTATAACAAATAAGGGGAAAAAGTACTGATACAACGGCCTACACAGATGAACAATTTGGTACCATCTTCTTAAGAATGACACTAAAGTGAAGAACTTATTAAGCCTACTACACAATCACTTGCACTTATAAGCTTGTTGAAGGTAGCGATCCATTTTTTTCAGACGCTGAGGTGAGTATCCTAGGAACTACTGATCAGGTGTTGGTAGATGGAAAGAAATAAAAAACTGATGGAGTGTCTAGACTAACCAGCTGAAGTTGCATTAGGCCCACATAGAATTAATGTACACAACTGAGTCAATTTCAAAAAAGGTACTACTGTTGCGAACGTGTTTATGTAACAGCTGCCTAGTGTCAAACTTAAACCGTAGAGTCAAGCAGTACAGAAAAAGTTAGTGATGCATTTACACTGAATGACATATATATATATATATATATATATAACACTATGCCCCTACCTGTTTTCAAGAAATATTCCATGTCGTTTCACAGCAGCTGCAGGGGTCGCCGGACAAAGATCTGCAACTATCTCGTCAGCTGTTTTATACTCATAAGCTGGTTTAGTGGTCTGATTACGTTGTGCTCCTGGTTTCTTTTTGTAACGTGGTCCACCTACTGGAAACATAATAGAAGGAAAAGGTACAGAGAAATCAACACGAATTCGACTGAAAATATCAACAGATCGAAACAGTGACAGACTGCTGAGTATATATATAGATCACTGATAATGGTCCTAAAACCAAGTAGAAGTCTTTGCTTTAGGTTATATGATTACGATCAACTTGAACAGTATGAGTCCGATTTCACAAAAAATGCCACAGTTTAAATGCAATTAGAAAATTCAAAAATTCTTATTATATACTCAAAATAACTACTGTTCTTCTTGTTCCTCTTCAAAATATTATTTATTTCATAACTATTACTGTCACCATCACTTGAACTTCATTCAAGCAGAGCTTCTTCGTCTGTTATGTTCATATTTCCTCTTAATCTCTAATGACTCCAACTAACCCATTGAAACCTGCTCTTTGTGGATTATAATTTCACAAACACTGGGTTGTTATATCTCATATTTTTATTGACCGTACATTTAACAGGCATCTAAATCTCTGTCAAAATAAAGTGCCTGATATTCCAACTTTTAATTCAAGTGCAGTTAATTCTATCCACCAGAGTAGTTTCTGATATAATTTGTATTTTTATGGATTCATAACTGTATACCTTAAGAAAACTTTCCTTCTTCTTTTGAATTTTAAACAGAAGCTTTCAGAGTGCAACTCAATATAGTACTTTATCCTATTATTAGTAGTGGAATTCACAATTGACTGACGACTGCAATCAATTCATTTTGAAACAGCTACCCCCTACCCTACTTTCTCTGAAACTCTTTTCAATTCTTTGAGTATCTACGAAATACAAAGGTTAACGCACGAGAAAAACAAAAAAGAAGAATGCTATCGTGATTATAAATGAACAGCATTTATTACCAAGAATGTAATCGGTGGTTTGATGGTGGAATACTCGCCAACTATGCGAGAAGTCCTGGTCGACGCACTGACAAACCTCACCTAGTTTTCGAGCCGGTAGTACGCTCTGAAAGGAGGGGATGTTACGTGTGAGGATAGTGACTCCATTCCATAAGAAGCAACACTATCGTTACTGAAACTTAAAAGCTGGGAATGATGAAAATAGTGCTAAACTTTATGAATGATACTAAATAACGTAGGTGTTTTTTTAATTGAAGTTATTAACTAAAACCAACTTCTGAAAAAGAATACTGCATGCACTACTTTGCTAATATAAACCCATAGAAGAATAAAGGCAACAACAGACTGCTTGATGTTGTGTGCAAGAATAATAAAGCATAAACTCTTCAAAAATCATCGAGATGGCATGAATTTGTATTCACTTAGTTACAACCCTTTCAAAATTGTACGAGAAAAGTTAATATAAATTAAACAGACATACCAGAATCTGGTTTTTCCGTAACGGCTTCATTACCACGACGAGGAGCAGTGGTCTTCTCTGGTCCATAAAATCCCACAGCCACTTTTCCCACTCGCTGCACAGCCTCAACTGGGGTTACAATACCTTGACCTTCCGATCCTAGACCTTTGCCCGGTTCATAACCCATCTGTTCTAAAAGCTTCATTCCAATACCCTTTGTATGTCTTTCCCAAGCACCAAAACCTGAAGCTGCTGACTTTGAACCAGCAGCTGCCATCGCTGCACGGCGTGCAGAGCCAACATGTATATTAGCTGGTTTATTTGGCTGGTAGTTCACATGAGAATCCGAAGAATCTGAGTCTGAGTCGTGAAGGGGCTGTAAGCTACTTAACACGGGTTTATCGTCTTCTTCATCTGTGATTGGATCTGAATCCTCACCTTCAGTTTTTTTCTTATTATCGGAAGCGCTTAAACTACCGACCTGGAGAGATAAGAGAAAAAAGTACTGATTTAGTTGGCGGAACTTTCATTTCTGCTTGCTTATCAGGAATAATATAATATTGACAAAATCTAACAGACAAACCTAATCAACTTAAGTATTTCAATAATTCAGTGCTATTTAATCTCTTAGCAAAACAGGAACCAGCCCGAAGATGGTATATTCAATGACAATATCCTGCAGTTTTAGAAATGCAAGTAATTATTTCTAGACATTAAACGGGAAAAATATAACGAGACATTGTCAACAACTTTAGGGAATTTTTGCTGAAATTTGCCTATTTATATATGCAATTTTGTGAAATATGTGAGTATTACAGTTAAAACTAAAAATCTAAGCTAAATGCAACAGCAAAGAATAAGGCTGATAAGTAGTTGTTTTGACGAGAGATCGTACCAACTATAAAAATTTTCAGGGCATCTACATGCTACTTGTCAGCTTTCGGCCAACATAACATAAAATGATCCAAAAATAATTAGCCATGATGTTTTTACCTCCAAAAAGCCAAGAATAACGCAGTGTGAGGCTAAGTAAATGACCTGTGATGGCCTTACGTTTCTGAGTGTTCACAGGTCTTAAGACATAACAAACATATACAGCGCTCACTCCAGCGGAATCGCTCCGAATTTCCAGCCAAACGCAGCATTCCAAGAAGCGAATGCCACACGATTAAGAGATGTCGTTATAACCTTAAATCCACAGATTTATTAATTCCTCTAAGGATTCAGGATCACTGAAGTTAACAAGCCTGTCATTGATTTCCACTAACTATCTCCTTGCCTGCCTCTTTACGTAATTAGACCCTACCTTCAGTCCACCACTGACAAAGGTGATCGGTGCTGAATAATTGGCACCCTTACGCTTGAGACCAGCATCCCGTCTACCAAAGCCACTTTGTTCGGCCTCAGAATCAGAATCATCCGATGCGAAGATACCATATATTGTCTGCTTCTTCGTTTGTTTCGTTCGACGTCTTAGAGGATCCATCATTTGTGCATATTCGAAATCTGATACGCCAAACTTCTCCATCTCCGGTGACGAGTCCATTGTTGTAAAAATGGTTGCAAAACTTCAAGCAAAGCAACTGATTTGAAAAGATCCAAAATTAAAAGGCGGTTGAAATGAACCAAACAATGCCGTCAACTGATGAAGTAAGAGAACTTGAAGATGGTCGATTCTTTCTTGAGAATATGAACAATTAATGTTGACTTGACCCAAAACGTTGGTTATTATTGTTCGGCACGACAATCACCTGCCAACAGGCTTTCCCTTAGACTAAGATTAACTGCAATAAATGTGCAGTTGAGCGTGAGCAAGGTTGGTCGCAGTAAAATCGGTCGACACGGGAATCTAAAATTAGTGACGTAGAAAAAACGTGAGTTGTCATCTCAACTGTTATACAAAAAATATATGTATATAGGTAAAAGTCAATTAAAAGAGACTTGTAATGCTTAAAAAAATGAAACAAACCAAGATATAAGCCACATAAGCCCTAATAGGCCTTTCCTATGGATTACACCGCAAAAATATAATTTAACCGCGGTCGTTGTACTCCTCACACTGACCTTCCCACTCACACATCCATAGATATATTAAGATTTGTAATGATTTATTTATTTTATTTCATATCATGATTTTTTAATGAGTATCCGTGCTTGTGTGATCCCTTCTTTGAGTGATTTGATCAATCCGTCGGTGGCACAGTGGTTAGGACTCTCGCCGACCATGCACTTGGTCCGGGGTTCGATCCCCTGCCGGCGCACACCCGATATCTATGGTCGGCCTGAATTTGGGCTACCGATATCCATGCTGAAAATTCCACACTTGTACTGAAAATACGGTGTGGAATCAAGCTGTAAATCAAAATAAATAAATAAACAATATCGTTTTTACGAGCTAGTATAAACCAATTTGATTTCTTTGTGCTCGCCTCTTGATTGTGAGGTAGAGGTTCCTGATCTTCGGTAAACGTCTGCGTAGCTCGTCCCGCCACTCGACTGTCGTAGCTTTGGTTGACTCCAAAAGGAGTAGTGCAGGGATTAATTATATGTGGTTTGTAGTATGAGGTGTGTTAAGACTGTTACTACTGTGAATGGAGTTGATCCTTTCACCAGTTGGTCCTTCGGTATCGTCGTCAATAGGAAACAGATAATAATAGATATAATTAGTGAAGGTATTCAGACTAACAGACAGAAAAAGAATAAGAAAACGTAACAACAGTCAGTCAACCGGTATACATATATATATATATACCAGTAATAATAATAATAATAATAGGTGTAGTTAAAGCTGTCAGGAGAGTAAGACTGAAGAGAACGTGAAGAAGTAAAACGACCAGTTTAATTGTCTACCTTTGAATGGTGTATGCGATTTTAAGGGGATAGGCCGTTTGGATGCAGTCTTTGTGTCGCTGCCTTCGTTTAAAGGCATCCACAGATGGTGCCATAGCTACATCTGCCGGTAAGGAATTCCAGGGACGGCAAACCCGCAGGGAAAAGAAGTGGGAGCGCACCCGGGTCCTTGCCCTCTGATGAGCTATCCTTCTAGGATTTCCACAAGGGAGCCTATACCTACTCAATGGCAGAACACCTTTGTTTGTGTGATTCTGATCATTTGTTATTTTGTAGGCAGTAATTAAATCCCCCCTAAAACGACGGTAACTGAGTGTGAATAGGCCTAATTTCTTCAGCCTTTCGTCATATGGTTTATTTCGGAGACCAAGCACTCCTTTTGTTGCCCGTCGTTGGACTCTTTCCAAGAGGTTGGCGTCTCTTTTAAGCAGTGGGGGTGCAATGATATTATGCACTTCAAGATGCTGTCTGACGTATGTTTTATACAACCTTAGAAAGAGCTCAGGAGTGAGTGCACCTAACTGTCTATGTGTAAAGTGTATGACTGCATATACCCTCGCTACATTCCCCGTGTAATTTACGCTTGTGTCCATTTTCTCCGTTAGAACTAGACCTAAGTCACTTTCCAACGTTGAGCAGGACAAGCTTTCATTGCACAGGGTCTAACTTGCATTCTGCAGTCTACAGGTGCGTAACTTCACTACTTTGCACTTTTTCAGGTAGAAAGTCATGCCACTGGCCACCGCCCAGTCTTCCAGAAGCCTTAGATCTGCCTGCAGTCTATCTGAGTCATCCGGACACTTTATCGCCCTCCATATCTTCGCGTCATCAGCGTATAGAAGAGTCGGACAGCTTAGACAGCATGGTTAATCATTGATAAAAATCAAGGACATCAGTGGTCCCAGGATAGAATCCTGCGACACTCCTGATGACGAGCTGTGCCAAGATGATCGGACTCGATTGACCTTGGTGCAAAATTGCCTTTCAGTTAGGTAGTCCTTCAACCATGACAGAAGTGGTTTACCTATACCTACCTGGCTTATTTTGTGTGGAAGATCATGGCGAACAGTGTCAAATGCCTTCTCAAAGTCTAGAAAGATCACATGGACTGGAACATTCATGTCCCAGTACGATGTCCAGTCGTCCCAAGCTGACACTAAGTTAGTGACGTAGGATCTCCCTTTCCTGAAACCGTGTTGGGCTTCATAGAGTATTTTAGACCTGTTCAGATATTCCCTGATGTGATCATCAATAATACTTTCCAGTACTTTCGATACCAGTGGGAGTAGAGCTACTGGTCTATAACTGGTGGGATTTTGCCTATCCCCACCCTTGAAGATCCGAGAAAGGATGCTTCTTTTCCATTCCTTTGGCAGTTTCCCTGATTCCATGAAGTGTTGGAACAAGTCGCATAAAGGCCTACAGAGAGCTTCGGCGCACTGTTTCAGAAGAGATGGCCTGATGTCATCACAACCTGGGGACTTCCCGGGTATGAGTCGCTGCAGCTTTCTCAGTACTATTGCAGGGTTTATTTGGGGGGTGGCTATTTGGTCTTCCTCCTGTGAAATAGTCATGCCACCATTTCGGTCCGCAACGGTAATACCCACATTGCTGTTTAGCTGTTTGGCGAAGGCTAAACTAAATGTTTCAGCCATCTCCAGACTAGTGAGATATTGACCGTTTTGGCCTACTAAGGCGCATGCCCCCTGGTTGGTTGGTTTCCTTTCCGACATGAATTGGTACAAATTCTTCGGGTTTGCCAGGAGTTTTTTGGCAAGGTTAGCCTGGAATGACCTTCTGTCCCTCCTGACTCTTGCATTGCACCGGTTTCTGAGTTCGAGATATGCATCATGGTCGATCTGGCTTTTAGATACACGCCACGTAAACCAAGCCTTCCGCTTTGCTTGCAGAATACGCTGCGTGCCTCTCTTTAACCATGATGACTTTCTTTTTGGCTGTGTTGTAACTAAAGGGACGGTATCCGAGATTACTGTATGAATGATCTTTATTACCGCTTCCCAGTGTTCATCCACAGACAGCTCATCCCATGCTAAGGGCCAGTCTGCATCGGACAAGAGCCTCCGCATTTCAGCATAGTCAGCCTTGCTACAACACAGACATGGTTGCATAGCGTCCCACTACAAATGCTCACGTAGAACGAGGTCGAAACCTATGACTGCATGGTCACCACTTCCTAGAGGAGTCATGATCTGGACCTTCTCGACAAGTAGTTGGTCACTAGCTAGAATGTAGTCTAGTTTTGATGACTTTCCACTAGGGCCCCACCTAGTGTCGTCTCCAACATTCTCAGTCAGTCCCGTGTTCCGAATAGCTTGCAGTAGATTTCGGCCGAATTTTCCCTTAGCATACACCGAGTCGGCAGAATCCACTTCTCAGATTTGGTGAGAAGACTTAAGACCCTATGGAACAACCAGTACTCCGTGCACTTTTGGCAGGAAAAATCCATTTTGGACCAACTTTGCAGATCTTCAAGATCTTCTCGCTGAATGAAACTTTCCTTGTCCACTTCAAGTCTTCAAATTTTTCATTCGTCGGCTCAGATAAGCATAGAAGATTTAGTGGGTCTGTGCAGTCCCTTCATATTCAGAATAAATGGCGTAAAGTGCAATATCCTGTGGTCAACCTTTGGAGTTGATTTCCACTTTGAGTTCTTTACTTATAAGGAATAGTTCTCTCCAAGTCACTGGGCTACCCATTATCTGAAACGTCACAGCTTCTTAGGAATTCTAATGTATGTGGAGTCCGGAGCAATGTGACTGCACAGTTTTTTGTCAAATGTTAGGAATAGAAACATTTTCCATTACTTTCGTTACAAAAGAACCATTTTAAAATATATAACTTTGGCGTGCGAATGAAAATATAGCATACTGTCCGTCACTTCGTCCTCTCACTGGTCCATACCGTCCACAAGCTTTATTACTAACTGGTTTGTACCCTTTGGAATTCGCAGGAACCTCTCCCCTCCGAAAACTATTCTACAACTGGCAAACAGCTTCTACCAGTGGACAAGACCCCAGCAGTGAACGTTTCTGTGGATTGTATCAATAATTTGTCGCAGCGGGCTGTAAGTTTATCATCAAGTAACGGCTGAAATTATCCCGCATGTTCAAGGTCGTTGATGGGTGAGACGCTCAAAGGTCATTTTCGCCCATGTTAGTCAACTATGTTGGATTGCAGTTCCGTAGCCGTTCGTTTACACATTGGTTTTTACGTTTATTCTGCAGTTATTCACAACTAATTTTGATGCATATTGTTCACAAATGTTGCTTTTAAACTCATTTTGTTTCCGTTGCTGTTAAAATTAGTTATTTCGTTGGTTTCGGAAGTTGTTACCACCACGTCAATGCATTCATTTCATTATAATTGTTTCATACCCTGCATTCATGCATGATTTCAGTGTTTTAGTCGTTTTTCAGCTATTAATGAAATAGTGCTGTGTAGAATTTTTGGAAAATATGCACGTGAACATGTTTAGCTGACAAAAGCTGTTGTTTTTAGTTCATTTGCTGGTTGCCATTATTGTTTCTGGCTCAATTGATTACTTAGTATGTTGAAATCTGGAAACTACAATGTCTTTCACATTCATGTTAACAACATGTAGCAATCTAAGAGTCAATCTGGTGAGGCGAATACGATCAGGGTTGATATTGGCAATTTTTGGAGGAACATATTAAACCTGGAGATATCAGAGCGTGGTTTGAAGTTGAAAAAGCTTTGAAGCTTTTCGAGAAGCTGAGTATACCATCAGTTAAAAAATCAAATATTTTGTCAGAGAATCTAAATCAAACAAGGTTGAGCCACATGAGAATTGTGAATCTGTTGTGCATGTACGTAGTTGTGGAACTGAAAGAAACTTGAAAGCAATCAGAAACCCCTAAATGGTAAGTGTTACCTATGTTTAATAATGCCCAATGTACTAGATCCAAATACATGAACTAGGATCCCCTGTAGCAAAGCCAGTGTTAACAGCCATTCAGTGTGTTGCAAAACGACTTAAAAAGCGAATAACATGATCTGGCGAGTGTACTAACTATCCTAGTTAAAGGTAAGACTTTAATTAGCAAGAATAGCGTTTCGGGTTGTGATCTACAATCGGTGGTTACAACAAGCTGAGAATCTGGTTATTATTCGGGTTGAAAATATCGGCTGAATACAGATTGTTTGTTTCATTTCAAATAAT